TTTGAGAACACCAGGAAATGCAGAGAGAACACACAAGCCAGCTCAATTCTTTCTGCTCCACACTGAATCACTCAGCAACTCTGCCTGCTTCTGTGGCAGGGGGAATATCACAATTTCTCATCCTTCATTAGGGTTAATTAGTTCACTTGCTGACAGTATTGAAAGAAAGGCCAAGTGTTGGCTCAGCCAGAGGGAGTGACATCTTCCCACTCCTGCAGGATCCTGCTGTCCAAGGAAAGCCTGGGCTGCCCCTGCCTGTGGAACTCTCTTCTATTCCCTGATCTGAGGACAGGCTCCAGAATAAATCTTATTCCTTTCAGTTCCACTAACATCCACTGCTATCAAAAATCAGGCATATATTATTTTGCCCTCTTTGATCTCATTCAAACCGTGAAAACAACAGCCTAAGCATTTTGCCCTGCTGTATCTCGGGGAGCTGGAAACCTTTTACCAGCAAGAAACTCTTACAGCAGTTACCATGGTGACTCTGGTAATAGATATTTAAAGGCAGCTCACTCATAATCACATTTATTAGATATCAGGAGGCTTTAGTAAGAGAGGCACAAAAAGCTTGAAAGCAGGGAGCCACCCAGGCTTGGTGATGGTATAAGAAATTTACGGGGAGGGATCTGCTTATCCCATCATTTAGCTGGACACAAAGGGCTCCTGTTCAAATCTGGAATGGCACTGAAGCTTGCAGAATAAACTATTTTTAGTTTAATTTTAAAATTAGTTCTGAAAGCCTCATTTCAATTGTGGTACTTCAATAAATCCTTTCAGAGTGGACATTGCCAGAAATATAAGAAATAGCTGTGCCACAGCTCCATCCCCCATTAGAGCCAGGCTGCTGGGAATCTCCTGCTCTGCCATCACCTGGAAACTCAAATCTGGATAAAGCTCTCTGAATTGAAGAGGTGTGTTTGGTTATATATATGTTAGATAATTTATTTCTTTAGGTTCAAGTCCACAGCTTTCTAATCCACTGGAACACAACCAAGAGAATCTGCAGGAGCAGATCTCCACATAGGGAGCCACTTCACCAGGCTGGCTAAGCCTGTATTACAGTCATCAAACTGAGATTTCCTTTCTCTTTTTGCTGCATATTTCCATGACAACTTTCCTGCAGTATCAACTTCTTTCAATTGGAAAGGTCTCTCAAAGAGAATTTAGGCTTCTATAGCAACAGCTGAAAGCCCTGGGAGATGATGATGCCTGAAACTTTTTTTAGACCACACAAGTGTGTTTCAAATTTTATAGGTGAAAACAAAAATATGTGTAATATTGGGCAAACTGTGAAGAGGAGAAGGAGTACCTTGATGAAGTGGAACAAACACAAAGAAACCACCTTACCTTCAAAAAGGGTGCAGACTTTGAGATCTAAAACGTTAGGGAGAGCAGACAGGATCAAACACTCATCTTGAAAAGCCACATCCTGTTCCTCCTCTCTGAGTTATAGAACACAGTCACAAGGAACAAGTCTGCTGATCCTAAAAGGAGATTTTACTCCAAGATCTCTCTCTGCAGTCTATTTTATATTGATCTAAAGCAAAATTGGAAAATCAGTGAGTTTTAACTCCAATATGCTTGCCACCTACCTATTTCTTAACCTTTTTCTTAGTACTTTAGCTGTTTGCCATGGTAGGGACACAGTATTCTCCAACACTACTTTAGAAGAAAAAAAACCCCAGCACTCTCAAACAAATAAATTAGTTAGACTCAAAAGCCAAGGAAAGTACAGAAGCTGAAGCAGCTTTCCTTCACTGAAATTAGATCTATTACACAAAGCACTTTCAAACCTAAAGTCTTTTAAAGAAAAAAAGACAAAACACTACATTCACAAGGTCAACTAGAAATAGGAAAGGATTAAATTTAATGTATAGATGAGAATACCTTAGGATGGAAACCAAGCCCAGCAGGTCCCAGAACCTTTCCTTTTGCAGCCACTGGAAACCTCTTTGTACACAACAGGTGAGATCAGCAGTGTGACCACCTGCAAAGCAGACACCACTTTTTTGTGGTGATTAAAAGCTTTTCCTTTTTTCATTAAAATACCCATTAATTGATCTCCTCTTTTTTCTCATTCACTCCTACATCATGACAGTTCTGATAAGGAAAAAAATAAAAAAAGGTGCCCCCAGGTAGGGAATGAGTGAAAAATAATGGATCTGATCTAATTCTTGTTGACTTCCACCTTCAGTCACTTCTTGCCCAGCTGAGTAACTTCAGAAAATACTCTGGAACTGGCAGTTTGACAAAATAAAAGTTGAGGACTGCGAAAACTTATTTTAATTTTTTAATAGAGTCTATTCAAAACCTGGGAACTCTACAACCAAGACATATGCAAAACCAGGATTTCTGACAAACCCCTCATTATTTCCAAGATTTACCCTGTCTGGAGAATATTGAAGTGTGGGAGTCACTGAGTCACTGCAAAGGTCAAGTGAAACGCAATTATTCCGTGTCACCATGTGCTGCCCTCTGCTGAAACACACTCCGAGCTCCTTGGAGCAGCACAAAAGCTCGGGATCATCTGCTGCCGTCACACTCACCCGAATTCAAAATGTTTCATTTCGTGCAAGGTTAAAAATAACCTGAGCTCCTGCACTGGACTGAAGAGCTCCAGGATAAAGGAGTGGCTTCAGGGACAGCACTCAGGGAGAAGGAAGAGGGTCGGGTGTATCAGATGGATACTCTGCAGTGAGGAAGGTTCACAGCTTGGGAAAAAGAAACGGCTCAAAGTTTCATTTGAACGATTTGTTTTATCAAAGATGGGTTGAACTCTCCTATTCCCTCTCAAATCCTTAATCCTCCATCTTATTTCACCCACACGAAAAATCTGTTTGGGCAGATGAGATTATTCAAATACTCGGGCACCAGAATTTGTTCCTATGTAGGACATGGAACAGCACAAATGGGAAGAGGAGAAAGCTGTTAAATATCTAAGGGGGTAAAATAACATCTAATTACATATTAATATCCATTAATATCCATTAACATATAAATAAGTACATTTTATAGAAACATTTTTTTAAATTCTTGCTTATATCTTTTATTTACAAACAAATAGTAACCCAGCATTCTCTGTAAAACGCAGGAAAAGGGAAAAGAAAGTCAAAGCAATATTTCAACTATACACATAAATTCTCAGTAGTGAAATTCCCAATCCAACATATATGTTTTTTTCCCTTTAGGCCTTTGGAAATTAGGCTTTGCTGTGTGACTTCGAGATCAGCCCAGCAAGGTTATTTTGGATCAAGAAGATTGAAATCTTAAGTTGAGGGTTCCTTAGGGAGATCATCCTGTCATCCAACCTCCCTTACCTTGTAAAGATCCTGCTGTAGCAGATTTTAACCACGTGCTTTTTCGTGGGTTTTGACCTTTAGAAAAGGGAGGAAAACACCCCCCCCCAAAAAAAATTTTAAAAAATTTAAAACCTCCAAGAAAAAAAAAAAAAGGGGGGGAGGGGGGGGAATAGCAGCGGGCAGGTGGGCCCTGCTGGTGCAGCCAGTAGAGGGCAGTGGGATTTAGAGGAAAGTTGTTGAACTTCGTCTAATGAAATATTTGAAGTGATAAAACCATCCATTTAAATCGTTATTGGGACCTACCTACACTTTGGGACCTCTAAAAAGTTGCGCTTCAGGATATCAGGCAAGATTTCATACCAATGCATAATTTACTTAATTTTTAAAGTAATTTTCAATTATTTGAAATAATTGAAATACAATAATTCCATGCATCCTATTGAAGCCAGGACAACTATTTCTCATAGATTAAAAAACTTATGGGTAATTTAAATAGAAAAATATCAAATAAAAGGAAGGGTATTTTTAACGCACACCTATTGTCACTTGTGAAGACGAAAACTGGCTCTAGCCCACAAGAACAAGAAAGTAAAACAGATGAAGAAAAAAACAGCACTAGCAAGGAACGTAGATTTTTTTAATGCTCACTGCACCTTGATTACCAAAAGGAAAAGCAACAATTTCTCACCTTATCTCCAAACAGAACAAGCTCCCCAGAGCTAAGATTTGTGCACGATTTGACACGAGCCAAGTTCGCATTCTGTGGCGGAATATTGTGGATATTTACAGAGCCCTTTAAAGCTACACATGTCCCGAAGTAACGCTGCTGCCCTGCGCCCGAGGAGACCGAGCTCTCCCCAGGGAGCAGCCGGGAATGTCCCGTGGGACAGCGGGGACACCTTTGCCGGGCTCAGGTGCCTTGGGCTGCCCAGCACGACCCGGCCCGGGCTCCGGCTGCCCTCGGAGCCCCCTGAGGGGATGCGGGAGCCCCTCTGACCCTCGGAGCCCCTCTGCCCTCGGAGCCCCTCTGCCCCTCGGAGCCCCCTGAGGGGATGCAGGAGCCCCTCTGCCCTCGGAGCCCCTCTGCCCTCGGAGCCCCTCTGCCCTCGGAGCCCCGGCTGGGCTCCAGCGGGACGCGGCAGCGCCCGCCCCGTGCGGGACCTGTTGCCCTCAGACACCGGCGCGGTGCCGGAGTCAACCGCGGGGAGGATGCGAGGACACGGCGGCGACACCGCGACACCTCACCCCCCTCCCCGCGCCTCAGCCAGGGCATCAGGGACTGGGTCCCGCACTGCGGCACCTCAGCGCTCCCTCAGCACGGGAGTGCCCGGTGTGAAGCTGCCGGTTCTGCCCAGCCCAGCCGGTCCCCCCGCGCTGCCCTCACCTCCCCGCGCTCACCTGCAGCCGCCGCCGCCGCCGCGCTCGGGGATGCTCCGCAGCCGGAGCCCTCACCTCACCTGCACCGGCCGCACCGGCCGCCAGGGGGCTGCCGTGAGGCACATCGGGTAATGTAGTCCCTTGGCTGCCCGGGATGGCCAATCCCCGCGGCGGGCCGCGGAACATGCTGGACTTGGTAGTTCTTCCCGGAGGCATCGGCGCGGGGCAGACTGGGAGGTGTAGTCAAAGCGCTGCGGTGCGCAGCCAGCTTCTCCCCGCTGCGGAACTACAACTCCCGTGCGCCCTCGCCGCGCCGCTCGAGCGGGCGCGGACGCGGCGCCCAGCGCCCGTGGGTGTGCAGGGACATCATGGCGGCCCCGTCGCCCTCAGCCCCGGGAGAGCCGGCGCCGCCGCCGCCGCCGCTGCAGTACAGCCTCCTGCTGCAGCACCTCGTGGGCGACAAGCGGCAGCCCCGCGTCTGGGACCCCGCTGCCCTCGGCGGAATCCCTTGCCCGCCCAAGAGCGAGGAGCAGAAGATGGTGGAGCGGGTCATGGAGAGCTGCCCCTTCAAGGCGGCGTTGGCTTGCGTGGGAGGTGCGGCGGCTGGAAGGACGGGGCAGGCGGCTCTGGGGTCGTTCGGGGGTCCCTGTGGCGTCGGGACAGGGGTGAATGGAGAAGAGGCTGCTGCCCCCGTCTTTGATTTTCCTCCCAAGCCTGCTCCAGTCAGATGTCCCAGGGAGGGATCTCTGCCTTCCTTGCAGAGGCACAGGTGCTCGTGGCCTTTCCTCAGCACAGCACAAGCTGTCACGGGTGTCCATAGGACCGAGAGATTGCTGCCCCTGTCACAGGGCAGCGCTCACACACAGAGGCAGCGGAGGCGCTTCATTGCCTGCAGAGAATGCGCTGCTCCAACCCAGCCAAGCTCATTCCATTCTGTTTCTCTTTTACAGGATTTGTTCTGGGAGGTGCGTTTGGGATCTTCACAGCTGGCATTGACACCAACGTGGGGTTTGATCCCAAGGATCCCTATCGCACACCCACGGCCAAAGAGGTGCTCAAGGACATGGGGCAGCGAGGCATCTCCTACGCCAAGAACTTCGCCATCGTGGGTGCCATGTTCTCCTGCACGGAGTGCGTTGTAGAATCTGTGAGTAAGAGCCTCTCAACCATTAAGAAACGTTTTCTGGTACTCTTTCAAATCTGTTACTAGATCCAAAGAAGTACATATATCCTCTTTGCAATAGGACAATGGAGTAGACTGCTTTGTTCTTCCTTGGCCAGCAAAGATTTTCAGCTTTGAGATCTGTCTTCAGAGCTGCTGTTCTCTGACTGAATGAAGAACTCTTTTGCAATAGCAAAGTCCTTTTCAGTTTAAGTCCTGATTGTATTGGCAAGCATAGGCATTACTTTTTAAAACCCAAGCTACGAGTGCTTGTGTAAAATGTCAAACTGTGAATTGCAACATGGTAATTTGAATGTCTAAAAATTCCATATGCAGAAAGGGATCATTTGGTGAAAGTTCTTGAGTAACAGGCTGGTTTTCATCTGGCAGCTACCGCCAGAAATGACCTTGTGCAGCTCAGTGGTAAATCTATCATCTGCTTTTTTAAATAGGAAAATTACCCTGTTATGAATTTGAGTCCCGCCTTTTAATTGAAAGGCACAATTACTTCTTAACTCATCTAGGAGAAAAATGTATCTGCTTGCACAATAGAGCAGAACAAAGAGATCTCTGCAGTGGTGAAAATCCAGCGTGTCCTGGCTGTGGAGATAGTCCATCTTTGTCAGCAGGTGCTGTGACTCTCAGCTGTGCCAAGGACCAGCTGCATGGCCAGGCTCAGGGGTGCTCTCATGTAGTTCTTGCACTTTTAGACTCAAGGCTGTGTTCTGAGGGCTGTGCTGGCTCACCTGAGGATCCTTCCCACAGCACTGCATTGCACCATATGGATTTGTCTTACCTCTCCCCGTTACCTGCTCCTTCCTCTCTTCCCAGCCCTGCAAGTTTGGGAGTGCAGGGCCATCTGCTGAGAGGAGAGGGAAGAACATCCTCAGCTGAGTAGGGGATGGAGGGTTAAATCTTTCTTGCTGTTAGCACAGAGTGCTTATTCCATATTTACTTGTTGACTCTGATTTCTAATTTCTGTTTTCTTCCCAGTATCGTGGGAAGTCAGACTGGAAGAACAGCGTTATCAGTGGCTGCATCACGGGAGGAGCCATCGGCTTCAGAGGTTGGTGCTGCCTACTGGGAGCTGTTTCTGTGATAGCTGTGATAAGATTGAATTTGGTTATGCAGCACACGATGTTCTTAGTGCAACACACACACTACAAACCTTTTTGGGGTTGTGGTGAAGCCAGTGTGAGAGCGTGCTCCGGACTGGCAGAACTGTCAGCTCCAAGAGTAAGTGTGGATGAGGAAGGGTTGGTCATAGAGGAAAATCAACAAAATTCACTTCAAAGAAAAATCAGGAGATGGTGGTGGCTGTCCACACTCTTCTGTTATTCTGTGGTGTCATGGGAGAGAGCCAAAAATACATACAGAGCAATTCAGAAGCTTTTGTATTAACTGAGCTCTACACATCTATTTCACTGTCTGTGCTACTCTCCTTTGAAATTAGAGCTAAAGAACTCCACTCTATTCTTTTGTACCATGTATAAAATGCGTTTCTCCTTTCTCATGTATCAATTCAAACAGACAATTCTACTTACATGTGAAGGAGAAGGAGCAGTGGGGTTTTAGTCCAGCAGCACTAGTGAGGACTTTCCTTTAGTGGTAACATCTGGGAAAATCCCCAAGTAGGAGAGAGCTGCTTTGCTCATCAGAAATATCAAACTTCTGTCACTCTCCTTAAGAAAAAACTTGTCCTGTTTTATGGAGCATAAATGAAAAGAAAGCTCTTGAAAGTGCTTCTAATTGAGCTTGTTAAGTTGTGTCTGTTCTCGACCTAATCCTCTTAGAGCTGTCAGAGCAGTGCCTGCTCTTCCTATCCCTCCCTGGTCCCACCAAACCACTTGAAGGGGTCAGATAAGAGCACAGTAAAATCAGCAGTGGCCACTGGAGGGTTCTCTTCTGTCCCTTGGGTGAGCCTGAGGACACAGCACCCAGAGAGCAAATCCTGCTGGCCCTGAGGGCTTGTACATCAGGCAGCGGCAGTGCCACTGTCCCCTAGGAGGGCACTGCCAGGTTCCTGCCCGTGTGAGCTCTTTGAGCCAGCACAAGTTATGGGAAGAATATTTTCCCTGTTTGTCTCACGGTTTGCCACCCTTGCCTTGCAGCTGGGCTGAAGGCCGGGGTGATCGGCTGCGGAGGATTCGCCGCTTTCTCCGCTGCAGTTGATTACTACCTGCGGTAACAACAACATTCCCTGTTCCAGTGCTGCTGCTGAGAGCCTGCACCACGGCACAACCATCAGGCTTACCTTTCCACTGCCTCTGGAGTCCTGGCCAGTGTGAGCAGGGCAGCGCTGGCCACTTTCTGAATGACTAACAGCGACCTGGCTGCGAGCCCTGGTGAGCTGCTCCAGGCAGGCTTGTGGGAGCATGGGAGGATGGAGCCAGGAACAGAGCAGCATCTCCAGGACAGATCAGCTGACTGTCAGTTTCCAGGAAACATGCCTGGACTCTGAGCTCTTTCGATCCTTTGGGGCTGATTTTGATTAAGTCTGTTGCTAGCATCAAAAGAAGGCAGGAGGACAATCTTCGAAGAGAAATGCACCGATTTAGGTTACCACATATTTGAAGGTGCTGCAAGTGTTTTAACAGTCACCAGTTTGCAGCTTGCTACTCTGTTGGGGAGAGGTAAGATCCTGTGGAGAAATAAGTTTGTTCCAGGCTTTTCTTAAAATACCATCTGAAGTCAAACCACCATCTGTACAACTTGCCTTATTTCAAGTACAGAGATGAGCGCCAGATTTCTTTACCATGTTTTAAAGGGAAAAGCAGAAAGGAATCCTTAGCCTTAGAGCTGTGTGGTTACTGGCAGATGAACAAAACAGTTTAAGGGAAAAATGAGGTTGTTGCTGAAGTATAATTCTCTGTAGCCACTTGGCTAGCCTGATTTAACCTCACTGTGGGAGTACAATTTTGCTACTGCTTTAACTGCCCCAGGCTCACCCCATTAGTTCCAGCAGTTTGATAGTGAGACTTAGAAAGCATAGGTATGAGAATAAACCGGTGTTTGACAGATAACTGGGTACTCACTCAGCACATAGCCTGCTTCCCATCATGTCTCTGTGCCACCTCCAAGTGCCCCGGTGTTACACAGGGGGAAGTGAAGTGTTATTTCTGCCCAGCATTGGTGCTGAAATCAAAACGTTTGTTAGCTCAAGGAACTGCCCTTCTGCTCTTCTAACCAAGCACTGTTCTCAGACCTCAGAGAGTCATTTTTAACCTTCATTGAGCCATTCCATAAAGGCAAACACTCCCTCATCTTTTTGAGGCAGTGGCATTTCAGATGCAGTGCACACAACTAAGAGGGATTCTCCAACCCACTTCCCCCCTTTGCATCCACAGTTTGACACCCCAGAACAGTGACAGCCCTTGTTGACCTGGAAGAGCAATACCAGCAGTGTGTTTTGGCTGATATGGTGGTCAGTGGTCAGTTTGGAGGCACACTGGCTCCCATTCCCACATGGAAAGAAGTGGGGAGACAGCACCATGTGATCTATCAGATGAGGTTTCCAGATCTCCTGATGTCCCTTGCTGTGCCTGTTCAGTATCCTCAGGCCAGAAGCTGTGCAAGTCAGCTGAATTTTAAGCTTGAGTAATTCTAGACTGATTAAACAGGCTGGCTCCAGACAGTCCAGGTTTTTTTCCTCCAAAATGCAAGGATGTAGCCCAAACCATAAGAAGTCTCTTCAAAGATTGCCTGGCACAATGCCTGTACTTATACCACTGGCTTGAAGTGCAGCTAGCAAGAATTCCATGACAGAAAGAAGAAGCTGTGATGCCAAGGTGATCAGTTAGTGCAAACAGCAACACCACAGGGCTTCTTTTGTGCAAATATCGGGGCTTTGCATTTTTATTAACATTTTTTTTCTCCTCACGAGGTTTTACAGCCATTTAAAGTTTATAATCTACAGAAATTGAAACAGAACACAAACAAAAATATATCCTTAACAACTTTTGAAAGTCAAATATTAATTAACAGTTCTATTCTACCTGTAGCTGCAAGAGTCCACCCCCCTCTTTTCCTTCCAGTAGGGACAAGCAAAAGCCAGTCATGGGGACAGCCACAGCCTGTGGTGCTGGGCTGTGGGGACCGGGCCTCCAGCCACTGTCACAGAGGGAGATTTGGCTGTACAGAGTCTCCATCTGGAATGACAGTGTCGTGGACAGAGACTTGGACACATGTAACAATTCAGACACACACAGGGATCTGTTGTGCAGTCAGATCTAAAGCTCGGCCTCCTTACTGGGTCCAGGGCCAAGACAGACGCCTGGTTATTTTCTGCAATGCTGTTTCCCTTCTGTTTAGCTGGTAGTCAAGAGGAGCAGGGTCTGGAGTGTGAGCCCTTTGGAGGGGGACTGAGACCTCCCCTCCTTGGTTGCTTTGCTGGTGCAGGGCTGGCAGGTGCTGCCTTCCCCAGGGAGGTGGCTGAGGACATACCTGGTGCATTGGTGGCTGGGCTCTACCTGGAACAGTCCATTAGCTGGGAGGGTAAAGGCAACGCTGCTGTGAGGGACACGCTTGGTCACTTCTCATCCATCTCCATTTGGCACAGGAGAGCACAGGGCCAGCACAGTCGGGGAGGTGGGGGGGCTTTTCCCACAAGAACACGGACTCAGCTCACAGAGCGAAAGGTTTTGTGTCCCAACAGGTACCAATACCTACATGGGAATGTGGGGGACATCCCGGGAGCCGGGCACTTGGGCAGCCTGTCCTGCCTTGGGACATGGCGTGACAACTCCAGCCATCAGCCTGATCAACAACTGGAGCCACTAACAAACAGACCTGAGCTGGCTGGGCACAGCTAACCCAGCAGCAACCACTCTGGGAGAAAGGCAGAACGAAGCATTTCTGCCTTCAGTCACGAGGGCCATGAAGGCTTTCCTCCTCCCATCCTTCTGTGCTGGTTCCCAGGCTGGGTGACCATCCAGCTGCTGCACAGCACTTGCCTCTGGCAACCAGGCTGCCGCCGAGGCAGGGCCATGTGCTGCCATGTGCCCAGTGCAGCAGGGAAGGCCAAGGAGGGGAAAAATAATCTCCTTGTTCCCATAGCCACGGGAGGAATGCTGGTGCCCTGGCAGGCTGTGCCATGGGGTGCATGCAGTGCTCATGGCAGTGCTGGGCTGGCAGGGGTGTGAGTGCCTCGCTATGGCAGAGATAGAACTGTACAGCAGGTACCCTTTTCCCCACCAAATTTCCAGAATGGGGAAATTTGGGACCACATCAGTGCCAGAGCAGAGGTGGAGGTCAGCCCATGGTGCAGAAAGCAAACTTGCCTGGCTGGCCATCCCTTCAGCCTGCTGTGGATCAAGACCAGCACAGCACCTCTGGCTCCAGCCTCGTGTGAGGGGTTACCCCGTAACTCTACTCAGAGGCAAAATCCAGCGAGGGGAGGAACCGCCACGCCACACACACACAGGCAAAGCACAGGGCTGGGGCTGGAGAGGGAACTGGCCTGAAAACAGCCAGGAGAGCCGTGGCAGGGAGGAAGTAGCACCCTGCTCCTCTGCTGTCGTGGTCGCAGGTTTGCTCGGGCCGGAGCAGGATCCAGGCACAGGGTCCAACGTTAGCGCAGGCAGCGAAGCCAAAGCAGGGCTGGTCGTCACCGTCACTGGGGAGGGAGGCCCCTGAGCTGCTGGCCTTGGAGCCAGCCAGTGCTGCACATGCAGGCGTGGGCAGGGAGCTGGGCAGCAAACAGGCACTCGTGGGCACTGCAGGCTTCAGGCAAGGGGTGCCTGGTAGGAGTGAGCAGGCGAAAAGGAATCCAGGAGAAAACTAGCCAAGGGGGAAGCCTGTGTCCACAGCCCTTGTCAGTCACTACCTCTTCCGTTGAGCAAATATACATAAAAACAATCCTTGAACACAAGAAGGGACATAAGACACGACTACTTTACAGAGAAGGCCTGGCACCTGTGGGACCAGGCCACTGGAACGTGATTGTACAGGAGCTGCAGGCGGCACCGTCCTGGGTCTGGGCTGGTCTCCCTTGGGGACTGTGATCCTGTCCGTGTCCCCTAGCAGGGAGCTGGAGTGTTTGCAGCTGGTGCCTTCTGCCTGCAGGCTACACGTCCGTGGAGAAGTAAAGTGTGTTGCGTTTGAGCTCGGTGAAGGAGATGGGAGGATGCTGCAGGTAGTAGAGAAGGACCTGGACCTGTCGAAGAATATAAAAGGGGGGTGTTACTACAGAAAGGGGAAGAGCTGCCACCTCCCAGCTTGTCCCATCCAGCAAAAAGTAACAAATCTACCCAGACAGAAGTACCCAGCTCTTACCTGGGCCATCACATCGTGGGACCAGATGTCAGAGGCCAAGGTGAGGTGTGCCTTGCTCTCCCCCTCTGAGGGTCTCAGCAGTGTTGGCCCAAAGACCGTGGCCAGATTGTGGAGAGACATTTTGTTGATGGGTTCCTTTTCAGCCACCCTGTGGGGTACAGGGAGAGAGGCAGTGTCAGCCCCTAATGATGCTCAGGAGTGGGGAGCCAGGGGGTGATGGGCAGGCTGAGGGCTGCCCTCCCTTCTCCCAGCAGCAGTGGGACACGTCCAGCTTTCCACTGGCCTTTGTAGCCCTCGGAAAAGCCAGGTGCAGGGCAGAGAGCTCTGCCCCCTTCCCGGCCTCTGCTGGAGCCGCCAGGCCTGGCCAGGAGCCCCGGGTGTGATGTGGCAGCAACCAAGCCCTCACTTATGCACTGCGGGGCCTCCAGCCTCGCCGAGCCTGCAGGGCACGGGGAGCTCTGCACCAGCCCGTGCCCCCTGCACCCACTCCCCTCGAGGCTCCCTGCCCCAACAACCCTGTGGGAGCCCTGCCAGCATGGAGGGAAGCAGGACCACAACATTGCCATGTTAGGAGGCAGCTGTGCTCCCCGGCACAGGCTGCTCGCTTGAGCCCCGGCCAGGGGAGCAGATGTGGGAACTGGCTGTGCCCGGTTCTCAGGATGGAAATGGATTTTTCCCTTCTCCATCCCCCAGCATCAATCACTTTTTCTGTTTGGTTTTAGCCAAACCAGAAGAACAAAAAAAACCCTTCATGATGCAAGTAACATGAGCTGTGAGCCCCAGTCCCAAGCTCTGGCCAGGCTCTGTGTTCTGCTCTGCTTGCCCTTCCACAGCCCTGTACCTTCCATGGGTTTTGGGCCCCCAGAGAGCCCCATTTGAGCTCTCTGAGTCCCCAGGTTTGGATGCACCTCATCTGGGCCAAGACAAAGCCTGTCAAACCACACACTGCTGCACTCACCCTGGGAGAGGTGACATGAGGTGTCACCCGCAGTTCTGGGACATTTCCAGAGCAACTATCCTTGGTTCTTGGCCACCCGCTGCTGACAGGTGACAGGGATTGTTGCACCTTGTTTTGCAAGGGCTACTGCTGGATTGGAGGAGCTGTTTTCCTGCTAAGGGGGACACTGCAGAACTCCCAACTGATTCCTGTCCTGTGCTGAGGCCAGCTGCTCCCTGCAGAGCTCATCCAACCAGCTGCACACCGGCTGCAGCAGCCAAGTGTTCCATGTTTCCAGAGGCCATGTTCTCCCTGCAGAGCTGACCTGGATCACTGGCCAGGCACAGCACAGGCCCTGCTGGCACCACAGTCGGTGGTCCTGGGACACCAGGGGCTGCTCTGGAGGGGCAGGATGGCTCCAGGATCCCCCCAGTATCTTACAGGGCCCAAGGAGAGAAGATGTGGAAAGCCAACACCGATATCAGAGAAGGGTCTGAACAAGCTGCAGCCTGGGTAATATGCCAGAGCCGAGAGATGCGGCAGGTGGGACACACCTGGACCTCTACCCTCTTGGAAGGGCTGGGAAAGGACCACTCTATGCCTGCCCCAAGCTGCTGTTGCTGGCCCTGGCTGCTGCCCTGCTCTGCACTAGCAC